GAGATTTTGCCACAGAAGCTATATTCCATGTTTCATGCGATTTTGAAAGAAGCTTTTGTTGCTACAATGGTACGACATTGCAGCAAAGCGAATTTAGATGCAGAAAAATCTGGTGTCAGCAACATTTTCAGGTGCCCTAAATATCAGGGGGATGGGGGTAGAATATGTCTATACATTATGACAAAATCAACTACATGTATATCCATATAGTGGTAGTAGTTGGCTCAACTTCCAAATATGTTAGTCAGAGCCACTGACTATATAAACAAGTTGACAAGTGTAGTGTTTTACATTCTCCAACTGCACTGCATAATCTCTCGTTATTTGTATTCCCACAAAACCCTGTAACACACACCAGTTGTCAACATCCATTGACACATGTTCATATATAGTGTTTACAGTATGTTTTATTGAAAATGCATCAAGTAACAGTACTCTGTTAGAGGATATACAATACCATCTTTCAAATAAATAACGTCACAATTAATCCACTTCAGCTAGGAATGACAATTAAAGAAGCTGGCCAGGCTGTGATTCAATAAGGTAACCCGGTTATGCAAGAGATCATCTGCCAGAAAAGTGAGTTTGTTAAACTTGAGAAACCTTGTTTAGCATGCAATATACGACTTAGTTCTGATCATTCCATATAAAAAAAAACATTACAGCAGTATTGAAACAATGAAAATATTGTCACCTTCTGTTCAAATTACATAGTTTTTTTTAAAGGAAAATGTGATAAAGATTTGCACCACATTTGCTCTATTAGATGCACACATAAGCTAAAAATTGCATCAATTTTGATGTTTATATAAGTGCATATGCTACTAATAAGAGCAAATAAAGGTAGCCTAACTACTTAATATAATTGCAAATGTTGCAATAAATTACTTTTTGTTCACATGCACCTGCTGATCAGCCAATCACAATCAGTTCACATGTTCATGAGCCAATCAAGAACGATGCAGCTTACATTTTGTTTTATGGCTATACTGAAATTTAAAACAAAAACATTAAAGTTAAAATGTATTTCTGGGCAAACTTATTGTTTTTCACGTATTTTTGCTTGGCCAAAATTACTAATACTTAGTCAGAGCCAAACATTTGAGTATCTTGAATACATTTACTATATAATTCATAACATAGGTATGATAAACTATTCAGAATGGATTCTGATTTTTTTTTGTTCCATAGAATATTGTTTTTCAGAGTTACTGCAATACAGAGATAAACATAAGAGAAATGCAAAAATTATGAATTTGACCAGAAGTAATCTATTATTTACTGAGATTTTGATCACAGCCTGACAGCTACTTGTTACCTTACTATGACCCATCCTCTGACAAAACATGGTTACTATACACATGAATTTTTTTTTCTCAATTTGTTTTTCCATATATCATAAATATTGATTCAACATCTTCTTTTCATATAATTACATGGGAGACTATAGTGTCTATAAGAGCATATATAAACATGTGCTGAATTAAATAATTAATAAACTGAATAAATACCAGTTTTTCAGGTACAGCAAATAGATCACTGACTACTGATAAGAATACAATTTCTCTACATCAAGTTAATGACTTACCAAATGGATCAACATCGCGACTTTTTAGCATAGACACTCAACAGAAATAAACTGATTGCAATTTGCGAGTTTCGGTGTCACATGGTATTAATGTCAAAAGCACAGAATAAGCCAGTTTATATTAGTTATGCAGTAATTACAAAAACAGTCCTCTAAATATATATCAATCACACTACATGGCAGATAAATGATTTTAAACACTGCAAACCCTTTACAAGCAAGTTGTAATAGCTTGGCAAATGAACGCCCAGATCACATTCAGAGTGAAAGAACTATTTTTTCCGGCAAATAGTGTTTTATTCTCTCATGTTAATGTGTCTACTGTTCTATTTACCATGGTTACATAGATCAGTGGACGCAATGATTGGAGAAAATGGAATTTTACAGGCAAAAACC